CGCGTATAGAGAACAACTCTAGAAATAATAAAAACATAATAAAAAAAGTTGACTGATAAGGCAATGCACATACATGCATATGTGAATAAATGATCTTCTGAGACTTATTTACATTCCTAATTCTTTACGAGAATGTTCCCGGTAATAAAATAAGGGTGTGGGCGCAGGCGAGTGAGTGTAGAAAGAATAGAATACTTTCACCCACACTTACACCCTGGTTATTTAATGCAAATATCACATCGTCAACTAGCTGCTGATGAAATGAGTAGTGCTTTATAAATTTATCAAAATGAAATTTATCTATGCTTGTTTAAAAATTAAATAATATGTAATGATCGGTAAAATTTTGTTTTTTATCTATGTATGTTTATTTTATGATTATTTCGAAGAAAAATAGAAGAATTCCTATGATCTCCACATGTCGATTTGAAGACGATCGTGTTTAAAAAAAGAGATACTTCATAACTGTACAATACAAAAGATTTTCTTGTAATTATCATTTCGATTAGCTTCGAAATCTTTTAAATAGTGGATGTTTTGGTTTAATTGAAGGAGTTTTTCTGATAGGTACAGGCAATGTTTCATTATCATTAGGTGTTTTAAGAATTTGTTCAAGTAATTCTTGTTGTTCGTCATTCGTTGATAAATAAAGTTGATTCTAAAAGAATAAAATAAAACTCAAAACTTTTTCTATTTAAAAATAAAGAATTCAATACTTCATTCGTAATTATCTGTGTATGTGTAAGCATTGCATATGTATAACCTTGATCAATAAGAAAACTTTGTCGTTTTGGTAAATGATTCATTTCATCTGTATCTTGTGAGATGAGTGTATAAAAAAATGCATTATTCTCATTGATATTAATAATATCTAAATAAAATCAATTACAATTCATTTTCATCTTATAGAATGAAATAAACAAACCTTTCTTTATACGTAAAATTCGACCAAGTCGTTGTGCTTCTTGTCGTCGTGAGCCACCATCACTTGATATTTGTATAACAACATTAGCTTCAGGTAAATCAAATGATGTATCACCAACCTATGTTTCACGTTTATTTTTTTATACAATCAACATAGAAAAACAGGCTTACTTTCGAAAGAAAGATCGTATTAATTTTTGGATTTCGTTGAAAATTTTGTAATAATTGAATACGTTCATTATGTGATACTTTTCCATGAATGAATGGTCTTAATAATAATAATTAAAATAATATAAGAATAACGAAAACTTACTTGACAAGTTTTAATGCATAGATTTTAACTGCAAATGGATCATCACTAAAAACGATAATCTTATCATTTCGTTGTTCATGATATTGAATTAAAGATTGACAAGTTCGAAATTTATTTGGATTAAATACGCTAAGTCTTCGTTTAACCATATGATTTGTAGCTGTAGTATATTCTTCTAAGAATGCCGATGTCATTTCACATCGAACTTCTGCACAATGAACTTTAGCAATAAATCCTAAATTTTGTAATTCCATCCAATTAGCTTCATATAATTTAGGTCCAACTAAATAATTAAGATCTATAATTTTATCATCTTCACGAACGAGTGTTGCACTAAGACCTAATTTAATATGTGCAGGTACAGTACTCAGAATTTTTCGAAAACTTCTAGCAGGTGCTGTATGTACTTCATCGAGTAATACAAGACCTATGAATAATTGAAAGTTCGAAAGAAAAAGAAATATATATACTAATATTACAAACCCCATTCATGATTAGCAAGTTTTTTCATGATTTCACTCGTTTCAATAATACGTCCTTTTTTAGGTGCAACCATTTGATATGTACTTATAAATATACAAGCATCTAATCATAAAAAGATAAAATTAATCGATATTGAAGAATATTTCTTACTACCATTAAGTTTATCTTTTTTGTTAGATGTATAGGATCGTACGATAGAATCATCAGCTGTTGACCATCGTTTGAATTGTTCTTTCCATTGTTCAACAGACACATTGGAATTACATAATACAAGACAATTCTTATTCATTTTACATGCAGCTGCAACTCCTACTAATGATTTTCCAGCACCTGAAAGAAAAATATAATTTCAAGTTCAGAATAAAATTGAATATCTACCACAAGGAAGAACAATAATACCCGATCGAGCTCGTCCTAAATAAAAGAAAATGAAATAATCAATCAATGATATAATTTATTATACCATTATTAAACATTTTTCGTAAGCTTTCTTCTTGATAAGGTCTTAAATTAGCATCTGGAGCAAGTTGAATATTGAGATTTTTTGTCATTGTATCATGAACAAAGTCATATTCTTCAAGTAATGGATATTTTAACTCTTGACATCTGAGTATGTTTTAAAAAAAAAATAAATAATTGAAAGAAAAAAATGGCTAACCGTTTTTTTAAACTTTCAATCTTCTGTCGATTAACTTCAAATGATTCTAAATTCAAACCTTGTTCTGTTGAGACTGCTCGGCATTCTTTAATTTCAGAATCTTGAAGAAGTTCATTCAAAATATTCTAATAAAAACGAACGAATTGTAATCGCGAAAAATACATCGAAAAATTTAACTTACAAGAAAGATGCTTTTAATAAAATAACGTTTATGTTTCAATACTAATTTAACTTTGCCATACATTTCTGTACATAACTAGAAAAATAAAAGTTTATTTTTTGAAATCAATCATTTAAAAAATACTTTGATATAATTGATTAAATCATCCGAAATATTTGTTTTACTCAATTGTTGTAAATCTCTAATTATATCTTGTGTTTGCAAACCAGAAAACATAGCAGAATGTATAGAATTAGATGTAAGTTCATATTCATGAGTATGTTCAGAACGATGAATAGGCTAAAATAAAATTTGTAGTTTATTCTAATAGTAAAACTAAATAAGAGATCTTATAGTTATACTTCAGCAATGGTGAATAAAAAATCTTGTGCACGTTTATAATCAGTTGTGGTTAATTCAAGAACAATGTTGTTATCTAAAAAAATAGTATTCTATTCAAGCAATGAATAGATCATATTAAATGTTTACCTGATGTTACACGGAATGAATAACTTTCAGGCGTAGATTCCGTTTCCATTTCTGGGTTTATTCTTGAATCTATTATAGTATATAATTATGAAAGATTAACTTAATAATCATGATAGATATTAGAATTTTGTCAGATGTTTCATGTCAATGAAAAAGGTTTTTGTGAATTTCTAACAGATATAACCTTTATTATGATCATTCTGTTGTTTGTTATTGATGGATTTGATCTTTTTTAAATGTTGCTCTTTATTGAATTCTGAAATATAATAGTTCGATCATATTGAATATGATTTGAAAACAAAGTACCTCCTGATGATACAGGTCGTTTGTTCATGATTTTTCTTTTTCCTTTTAATTGGTATATAGAAAACAATCTTTTCAGTTATGAAGCAAAAACAGAATGAGAGTCTGTTGTTATTATTCGCTTTTATTTATAACCATCCGACAAAAGAACGGAACATAGACACACGTGTAGATGTTATTGTGCCATAAATGTGTATTTTTCGCTTATCTCGGGAAAAAGAATGACAGAGTGGGTAAAAATGTAAATTTCATACTTTAATATATTTCAACGTTATGACAATATTATCGAAGGGGAATTTAATAGTGAATAATATGATCAGTTTATTTCCTTTTTCATAAACAATTCAACTATTTTTAACTTTTGCTAAAAAAGAGGTCGTTAGTAGTTTACATAAGAATCAAGTATTTCTAAGTAATCAAAGAAATCGTACTCACACAACTATATTTGTTGTTCACGTATCATTTGTCTCGTTCTAATTTGTTCTTCTACTATGATAAATGAGAATATTGTATTTACTAAAAAGATCGAGAAATTCAGTCACAAAGTCTAGAAACTGATGCATTTATTATAACGGTTGTGTGACATATTCAGTTACCATAACTCAATCAGAAAAAAATTATAGTATTCACCTATGGAAATTCTATTATACACCTGTTACAAATACAAAAATCTATTCAGTTAAATCTATTGTAATGATAACTGAAGTTGGATTATATGTTTATTTATTAGGCTAAGCAAATTATGAAAGTATTTTGTTGAATGTTATGTTTGACTAAAGGGTAGAAATTCTTCATTTGTATTAAAACTTATGAATTATTTACATTTTACTTCACAATATAGTTCCGACGTTGCTTCAGAATAGTGAATTTTATTTTTCTAATATCATGAGATAAATAATGACATAATTCAGCATGGAATAGGTCACTTTTTATGCTCATACTCATTCAAAAAGTGTACCAAGTAATTTTAGCAATAACCTTTTCTCAGTTGGTATAGATAAAGCGTTTTAATTTTTTTGGTTTACATTCGCATTACTTCTACCAGAGTCAGCTAAAGTAATTCATAATTAAAAACGACTGTTAAGCCACTGAAATATCTAAATATGAACTCCATAAAACTACATACGTAAATGTTTATATAATGAACAAGAAACCATTTTATTAATAATTTCATTAGGCATACAAAATACGTCATTCATTATTAATTTCTGCTATTAATTCATGTCATCGCTTCGAGTCTGAACAACAAAAATGATACATGTCAGTCTCATAAGATCAAAAAATTGCACTGTTTTAATTACAAAATGAAAGAGGATCCGTTCATGACATATGTCAAAACCACACCTTGTGAAATCTAATATGGTATTGAGTTGTTTGAAACAATACTTCTTTTGAGCAGACTCGGATAGTTTTTCCTACTTTACACTGTCGTTCATAATATAAATAGTTAAAAAATATAGTTCTATTCTCTATAATCTTTAGTAGAAAAACGAGTGTAATTCATTCTCTTTTTTTCATAAAACTAATCCAGTGGACTTCTAGTGCAAATAAAAAACTAATTCTCCTCCTATGTCATAATATTTCTTATCTAGTGGCTTTAATAAAAAAGAAAATGTTCTGAAAGTAACATCTTCACTCTTTAGATTAAAGTATTTGAGAAGAACGTGACGATGTCATCTAACAATAACACAAGCATTACATTAGCAATTCTTCAACTTCAAAGTGCTTTTCGATATTCAAGCCTTATTTTAGGATTTATTCTATTGATCGGTGGTGTACTCGGAAATATTCTTAACATCATAGTCTTCATTAGATTTGGAAATTACAAGAATAATGCATGTTCACTTTACATGTTTGTTCGTACTTTTCTGGATCTCTTCATTCTTCTTGTTGGTCTAACCACTCGAATTCTTACTACAGGTTTTCAAATGGATTTTACTATAATGAATCGAATTTGGTGTAAAACGCGTGGAGGTTTTACCGATATTAATAGTGAAGGTACATATACTTTGATTTGCTTACAAGCTATTGATGCTTTCATTTGTTCTTCTCCATCTGTTATTGTACGACAAAAGAGTAATATTCGAATAGCACGATATTTAATACTTGGTACTCTTTGTTTTTGGTCTATTTATGAGATACCCTACTTTATTTTTCAAGATCTTGTTATCGTAGGAGGCACTCCCATGTGTATCACAACAAATACAATTTATGCTCAGTATCGTATCTATGTTTCCGGTCTTGGTATTATTACTATTACTCCAATTACTGTGATATCAATTTTTGGTTATCTCACTGTCCGACATATGAAAACTATCGGTGTAACGAGAACACTTTCTTCTCTTACAAGACAAACAATTAGCATGGCACTATTTCAAATAGTTGCTGTATTAGTATTTAATGTCCCAAATACAGCTTCGCTAATTTACTCAATTATTACAGCAAATGTAGCTAAAGATACTTATAGGCGGACAGTGGAACAGTCAATTACTTCATTTATTTCTACTTATGCTTGTGGTCCATATGCAGTAAATTGTCTTTTTCTTACTTTCTAAGCTAGTATTTATTCTTGTTTTTTTTAGAGTTCATTTTATTGTTATTGTTTATCAAAAAGATTTCGAAATCAGTTGGTGGTTTCTCTCAAAGAGATCGTTGGCAGTATACGTAAGAATCAAGTGTTTCCAAATACTCAACGAAGTGGCACTCGTACTTAACTGTAGACATAAGTTGACAGTTAAATATATTTGTCGTTCGCGTATCATTTGTCTTGTTCTAATTTGTTGTTCTGTTGTCTGTTTGTAAAAAGTTTTATAATATCAATAAAAGTATGTTGATAAACAAGATATGTAATAGTTTAAAAATGACTGTAATAAATGAGATCATTTTATTCATTGGATAGACCGACAAATTCCGTCAGATATTGTAGATACTTGTAACTTTACTACAGTCGCTGTATGATGTATTGAGTTTGAGTAATTGATCTGGAAAAGATTCACTTTAATGCATATCGAATATATAAAAGTTCTGCCATCATTTCAGTTTTGTATAAATTCAAGTAGAAATGATAATTGATCAAATTTTCGTTCAAGCACAACTACGTTTTATGAAATACTATCGGAAAACAATGTTGAAATATGTGTGAGGACTCGAACATATTTGAAGGTCTTAACTAGACATGTATCAGATCAAGTGTTGTCGCTTATAGTCTTAACACCGATTGAGAAACAATTAATACAAAATTTATGTTATTTTTGTTCATTTATCACCTGATAGAATTGATATTCAATGCAATTTGACTAAAACCATACGCTCTCTCTCATTCTATATACTTATGTTTCATTTTTGATAGTTGTGTTCGTGATAGAATCAAAACTATGCTTCGAATTGATTGAGTATATTTTTAACTATAATGACATAATCAAAGTGATAAAATAAGGATTTTACTAGTTGTTTATCGAAATAAGTCATATTAGAAAAGTTTCTATTGAAACTTTATCTAGTAATTTGAAATATGTTTGAGAAAATATATTTTAATATTATATACTTTTAAAATTATTCTCTGTCAAAATTTATTTTTACAATGTGGCTCAATTTATTTTTTTATATTTATTAACCTCCTATATATCCGTTACCATGTCTGACTTATATGATCGTTGTACATTTTCACTTCACTACGAAGTGTTGTATCAAGGACATTATGAATTATACAATGTTGTCTTCAGTGATTTCGACGATACTAAAAATGAATAAGTGGGTAGGTACTGTAATCATCTTACTTTCTGAGGATGTGGGTGTGGTGTTGTTAAAGAAGAAACATCCACACCCAAATTCACCCACCCACACACAAGCTCATACACACACCCAAGCCCACACTCAAACTCACCCACCCACACCCATATATAATCGTGTCTTTCTTATAAAAAGCACTAGTCTTATATATACTTTCATAAGACCGAAGAAAAGAAAAGAAGTGTGAGGATGAGGATATCATTGAGGGTGCGAGAGTGAGGCTGTGCAGGAAAAATAACCTACACGCTCGTCTACACCCTCAAGAAGATGCACGGGGTAATTTTTTGTATACTATGAAATATAACTTGAGAATGAAGCAGCTATAAGAACGGAATAGTTAGTATGCATATGATTACTCAAAATAAAACACAAAAGTATTGTTTTTTTTCAATCCTTGGAACAGGTGCTGACGAAGCCGCCACCTCGAGAGTGTGCAACTCCTTGGCGCAATGTGTAACCAGTTGGACATTTTCCAGCACCCGGATAGAAGCCTCCACAAGCTATATGCTTACCGTCATCTTTTCTCGAATGAAGTCCACATAATGTGCCAGGCAAATCGTCACTGAACACGCTCGACTGTTTGACACATGTCCAGAAGAAATCGGTCCCTGTATTGATTCGGGTGTATTGTGTGGGACATGGTTCAGAGCCTGGATTCATACCATCGCATAGTATCGTTAAATCTCCATAGGAAATTCCGCACAACGTATTAGCTGTACCACCGGCCATGCCCAGTTGATAATTCGAGAAATGACAACCTTGCCAATAATTATACGTTGTATCGCACATTCCAAGAAAACATGAAGTGTCGTACGATGAGATTAATTGTTTAAAATATGTATTACCCTGAAGACATTTCTCACCGGGCTCGCTTTGTGCGAGTATCCCTGTCGGTACATACTTAGGCTTCGAACAGTCATAGCCTGTATAACCACTGGTACATACACACTTTGCGAAACCAAAGTAATTGCTCGTTGGTGGGCATACTCCGTTAGGATAGGAACATTTGTTATAGCAAAAAACTTCCTTCGTTATATATTTGGTAACAGCAGATTGAATAAGAGCTTGCTTTGCTGCAATATTTGGATCACCAGGAAACGTGCGCTCTGTTAGTAAATTCACAAGAGGTTCAGTTTTTAACTTAATCGCAGCAGGATTCCCAGGCACGGTACTGGACCAAGTTTCGATAGACTGTAAAGTAGTGGATCCACCAAATGTAACTACACTACTTTGTTGCGAGTACTGACTAAAGATGGCTAGTTTTGATTCATTAAATTCGTCTGTTACTTTGAATCCCGCTTTGATTTTGAATATTCCTAACGCTGAGCTACTGTATTCACCGTTTTCTGTCTTGCTAAATCCGTTCTTTACTAGACTTCGTCTGTTTTCTTCCGTAATAGTGATTGTTTGTTGAGCAATGCCTCCCAAAAGTAATTCTTTGATGTAAGTGTACCCAAAATATCCAATCACAAATTCCTTGATATATGATTGTATTTCTTCCGAATCATTGCAACAAGGCATGTTGGCAATGATAGCACGAAAGTCGTCACTCAGTTCTATGTTCGGCTCGAATATGGACAACTGAGCGTACGATATAAAGGCACGCGTGAAGTAGGCAGTTGAGTTTTTTTGCACAATCGTATCGATCATAGAACTTGTTTGCGTTGAACGATCGTAGCTAAAAGCATTCAGTTTAATGTCGAGATTACCCGAAATCTCGATAGATTGTAACATGCTGTCTTGTAGTTGATCTAAAGTCGAAATGGTCTGTGTATTAGCAGTCAGCAATGTTGAGGGCCTGCAGTCGAGCTCAGCAATATTTGGAATCAGTTTGCTTGTGCAAGCACCTTCCTGTCGTTTAATAAAGCTCAGTTTTAAAACAGATCGTCCAAAACCCTCCACTTGGCAGTCGTCTGTGAAGCACACTGGAGAACCTGTCATTAAGTTATAACCAAGTCCAATCTTGTTACTATTCGGCAACCAATCAGTATTATCTTCAGCAACTGCATTTCTGGGTAATGAAAGTAAACGACGTGCACGTTCACTAGCTTCATTTACTTGATCGCGCGTCTGAGCATTGAGGAGGGTCGTAGTCAACAGAAAATAGTAAATCAAAATCACCATTTCTTAGAAAATATTGTATGTGAATGAGCAGGTGGAAACCATTTTACAAGTATATATAAGAAAAAAATCCACTTACGGAGAAGCTATCAGGTATAAAATTAGTTCCGTTTTAAAATGATATCGGTATTAAAATAGATTTTTTTATAAAAAATTAGTATGCAGTAGTTATGTTCGAGTATGCCACTTATACTGATTTTCATGGCCTTCGAAATTTCTCAGATGGAAATGTATAGTGCTTCTCCGCTGATAAATTATACTTCCTGAGAAAGTAATAAGGCATACCATGATATACGTTTATGCTTCAGCGGAATGTAAGTGGTTTAAAAACAAATTCTATTTGCTTACTTTCATATATACATATAATAATCGAACGGTGAATTCAACTACTCAATTATTCAAAAGGACTGTGTGAGAGTGCAGAGTGCAAAGATTGTGTGACAGTCATAAGCAGTGCAGACCCACACTCGTACTCACACCCTCTGTATTTCAATTTATATACTGTTATAGACTATGTTCTTTTGTTATTGAATATATTTACTTTGAAAGAAGTAAATTATTTGTCTTCGTCGTTATTTGTTATATACTTATGAAAATTAATATAATTTCTTCTCTAATTCAAAACCACTTCAAGAGAATTAATTATCTGTTATTTACTTATGCTAATAACTTCTTTTTACTCTTTGGTCGCGCAAAACATGAGAGGAATAAATTCGATGAGATCTAATTTGAATATTATGCATTCATTATACATTTTTTATTGGATATTTTTCTGACGCTTAAAACAGAATACACACAAAATAGAGAAGAAATTTGCAATAAATGCATATAAGTATCTTTTTTGAACTATAAGTCACACCAAACAAATACGCTATTTCATTATTTCGCTTCCAGTTTTGCCCTCCAACTACATCGCATTGTTAAAAACCGATCAAAGTCATTGAATATGTCAAACTAAGACTGAAATAAGTGTTATTTTTCAACTTTGATTTCTTTTTACGCCGACAAATATATCGATGTTTGTACTAATTTCGCACAAAAATGAACTAATTACTTAAGAGTCACACACTCAAAAAATTTTCATTCTCAACCATTACGATTCAGAGAAATTTGCTCATCATGATTTATTTATTGAAAATAAAATAGATATTGTTGCTAATGAATAAGTAACGGGAGGGTGTGTGGCTGTATCTTTTGTTCATATACACTATCTTGAGGGTGTGGGTGGTTATGTTGATCGTGTGAGTTTAGATTCATCTTTTCTTTGCCCACATTTACACCCACACCCGCCCTCAAATCTAAAACTTCTATTTTCTCTTTTTTCTTGTATAAGAATAGTTATACTTGTCATTGCCTGAAAATAGAACATACACAAATTCTATTAGAGATTTACAATGAGCTATGAAATATTCGTTAATTATATTTATATTTGTATTAATTCTTTCATTAAATAACTAGAATGAAGAAAAAGCCTTTTCTTTTTTTTTCAGAAATTATTTAACAAAAAAAAGAATGTATCATTTAGAAATTCACTGGTTCCTGTATGAATTAATTTTTTCAAAGTATGTCTAGATCAATAATAATTAATTTCAAATATCTTAGATGAATAAAAGTATCAGACCAATACGTAATATAAATACAAAACAAATAAATAAATCTTTCATATGAAATATCCTCTAAAAATCTAATGATTATACATTGTTTTCTATTCGAATTATATTCCGTTTACAAGAATATCTAAAACACGTTGTTTTAAATCACGAAAACGTGGTCGCATTTTAACATTATATGTTAAACAAGGAAGAATAATATGTGTATATGTTTCATTCGAAATAAAGTATCGTGGTTTTGGAAGATGTCGACTAAGATTTTCCGATGGATTTTTCAGAAGAGTTTGTAATGCATAATAGCTCATATTACCAAATGGTCGGTCACCCAATGAATAAATTTCCCAAAGAGTTATACCCTATTATATACAAAATATTAAATGATTTTTTATTTTCAATAAAATCCTTCTTACATAACTCCAAACATCTGAACGAGAAGAAAATTCCGATGAAAATAAAGCTTCCGGTGATGTCCAACGTGGTGCACATACTGAATGATGTGTACCTTTATATAAACCAAATTCAGTTAATCTAAAAGATTTTATCCTAAATTTTGATATATTCATAAGAAAATAATTTACTTCGTTAAACCAAAATCAGCAACTTTAAGTGTATCTTCTTCACCAATTAAACAATTTCTTGCTGCTAAATCTCGATGAATAATATTTCGTTCTTCTAAATAAATCATTGCTTCATATATTTGTCTTCCAAAATGATTTAATTTTTTTGATATAAAATATGGATTTGTTTTTAAAAATATATCTCGATGTTTCTTAAGATAATCTAATAATGAACCATTTTTCATAAAATCAGTTACTAAACTTAAATATTGTCTTTCTCCAAAAAATGTTATACCAATTATACGTAAAACATTTGCATGTCGTAAACATGTCATCATAGTTGCTTCTTTAAGTAATTCATGCATATCTTCATCATTTTCTTTGAGAAAATCTCTAGTAGAATTATCATCTTGAACATTTAATGTTTTTAATGCAACATCATGAGTACCTTTGTATAAAGCATGATGCACAGTACCAAAATTACCTTTACCAATTTCACGAACATACTATAAAGAAAAATAATTTTCTTGTCTATTATCATAATAGCTTACCTGTAAATCTTTTGTTTTAATTAAAGCAAGTTGATAAAAATGTTGCTTTTGTTTTCTTTTTAATTTTGAAGAAGATATTTGATTAACGCTTGTTGCTGAATCTGAATGAACCATGCTGGAATGTTGAGATGAATGTATAGATGTTTGGGATGATGATGATTTATTTCTATGTTTTCGTTTATCTGTAAGAGCTACCGGTGCAATAGATAAATTTCCAGTTGATCGACTTTTTCTCATACCAAGTGCTGGTCTTGGGACATTTAGATCATGACGACGTTTTTTTCTTGCTGTATTATTATGTGAAGGTGGTTTTGCTCGTTCGAAAGGTATTTGAGCAGGTTTTGAAGGAAGAAAATCATTAAAATTTTGATTTTCTTGATTAGCAATACGAAGCATACTATCACCTGCAAGAGCTACTCGATGATCCCATTTAGCTTGAGCTTGATTATGAATTTGATGATGATGATGATCATTTTGTCTTTGATTAAAATATGAATGTTGATGTTGTTTTGATGTTTTTGTTCCCATTACAATGATTTTATTCTGTTCGGAAGTATATGATACGTAACAAAAACGGAAGAAGGTAAATATTTCTTTTTAATAAAATGTCGGATATGCGCGAGTAATTTGTATTTTATATAATGTTATAGACACGTTTTTATTAGCGTAACGATCAAACTCGGACATATCCAGCAGTATGATATTCTGTTTGTAAATAAACAAATACATACAGGTAAAAAAAATTTTTTTTCATGATTTATTTTTTATATAGACACATTTGAATAAATATCATTAAATCAAAAGAATACTGACGCATGTATAGAAATTGTATATATAAAAAATTTCCAACTATGATACCTGACTTTTTAATTTAATAAATATATACATTATCTCGATGTGACTTGCAAATATTTTTATTAGACAAGAATCTTAATTATTCTATACTGTCGCAAAAGCATTAGAGAGTTTTACTCTTCTTTGTGCGCATAAAAAAATAGAATTTATTACAATAGTGTTCATTGATTCGTAGTAAATACGAAAAACTAATGATAGACTGAAAGAATATTTTTAATTTTTCGAATAGATAATTAATTAGCAGCAAATCGGATATAGTCAATACCAAATCCAGCACCATCTCCTTGCCGTACAGGATCAATTCGTAGTCGACGAACAATATTAATCCATTTAGAATTATTCGAGAAATCTAATATATATTCTCTCCATTTTCCATCATTTATCACTTGAATCCAAATACTATTATTTTCATTAAATGATCCTGTAGCATCTGTACTCCAAAATAATTGAAGAGAATCATCTGGTAAATGATCATTAGACATTTTAATAATTATTTTCTTTACAACTGCTGTATCAATCATAATTACCGGACTTAATAATCGTGGATCAGTACCTACACGTGATAAGATCCATTTTCCATTTAATGGACCATTTGTATATTGATTTAAATCAGTGACTCGTTTCCATCCTTCAGTATCTCCATCAGAATTAAATTCATAAGATTTAGGATTTTGCGCAGTATATTGTTTTAAACTAAAATTTCCGATTTCAGTTGTTCCATTATTTAAACCAGTAACTTCCCAACCAATATTCATTCCTCCAACGTAATATTTACTAAGATCTGTTGATTTGAAAAAGCCACGTTTTATCGCTTCTTGAAGACCTAAGCGAGCAAAAGGCATCATATCACCTGTAACATGTACAATACGTTTTGAATGTACAGAAATATTAGCAAAATTTGAAAAAGCTGGAGAATATATTAATGAACCAGTGCCTTGATCACCATTTATATATAAAGGACTCATAAGAACACGATCATCATATAACGGAAGTCCTAACCAAAAATATTTTCCATATTCTGGATCTCCTTTAACTAAATTTTGAATAGTCATATAAAGAGGAAACATTCCAGTATGAAGATTTCGATTATAACCTGGTTGAATATGTTGATCCATATATAAAAGTTGAACATCAACATTCCATCGTAATTCATTTATTTGATCTAATGGTACAGCTCCACCTGCAATTCCAATATCTTGCTGAAGAAGAAGATGAACCCATGGAGCATCTCGTGCTTTATATTTGCCTCCATATTCATGAAATCCATTTACTGACAATTGTAAACGACCATCTTGAAAAACTATAAAACGTTTGTCTTCTGTTGACCATTGCATACCTTGACTTCTTCCGTCATTAACAAAAATACCTTCGGCAGATATATTTGAATGACTATCCCATTGTGCCATAATCCAAGATGCACTTTTATTGGGTGCAGTAGAAAATGGATTATATAATCGAACTCGAGGTGCTTTGACACATGATGGACTTGAAATACAAGCTGGAATTACACTAAAACCTTGAGTATAATTAACATCAGAAAGAAGTTCAATGCCTTGAAAATATACTTGACTTGCTGTGGAATAAGTGAATAGAATAAAAAATAGTATAAGCATTTTCTAAAAACATAAAAGAATCAAAAAGATAAAACATCACATATATACAGATGAGAATCGCAAGGTGGTGTCATTCTCATACCATAGATTAGTTATGGGGACATGTGACTTCTGATATCTTAGATTTATTCAATTAAAAAAACAACAAAATCAAAACTATACTCCCATACAACATGGATAAGACTGATAATTAAACATTTACTTAAGCTTAACAAAACATGATTTGAATAAGAGATGAATATAAAACATGTACCTATACTCATATTCTTAATCATAAATATACTAAACTAAGTGCATTTAATAGACGCTCTTTATGTTTATGAATCATGTGAAAAAAATATTTAATCTTCGATATTTAACTGGTATATAGAAATATAATATATATTATTAGACGTTAATATTCTTCATAAACTTAATGTTAAATTTAGATTAACTTATTGAATAGAAGAAATAAAAGTAAAGAGAAGGTAATAATTATACTTTTTCTATTTTTTTATAAAAAAAACTCTGAAGGACTTCCCACTGTTTTTTTCTTTTTTGCAGAAAGTAATAGTATTTTGTATACCCATCTCAACAGTGGACCATTGGAGACGTCGATCGAGAAACTGTTCCACTTTAAGGAGAAATGGTTTACCCCAACAAAAGCAACACATTCAGGAGAAATGAAAAACGCGAAAGCGACATCTATTCAATGAATTATTCGATACTCCACCTTTATACACCGCAAAGCGAAATCCTTTTTATTTTAAACAGACATCAAACAAACCTGAATATATACGAATTCAATATCTAAATCAATACGATATCCATATTTTCATTTCGAAAGAAATCCTTTTTTCAAGTTCCATTTTTCCTTATGAGTGGAGATATGGATAAACCATTTCATATTATTATTCATCCATTAGTACTGCTAGAAAACCACATCCCCTAGAATATCTTCCGTGAGCGAACATATAAATTATTTGTTTCCCATTCTTTCATGTATATGATTATATAGTATATTTTTACTTTCCCTCACATATACATTTATATGCTATTTTTCTCCTTTACTTTTACATCTATGCTCGTATGGTAATTTTCCTTTCGTTATCTTCATGCGTTCTTCTTCTATTCTTTCGACTTTCACTGAAATGTGTTATTTTCAAGTGATGAACTAAACCATATCACTTAAGTAATATTCGTAGAATATGTTCTATTACAAGCAATGAGAATGATCAAAGTAACCATTCCCTGTCCACTGAATATTTACATTTTATCCTGATACAAAACTATTATTCCGCTTCCGAAACTACCATCTTCTTATACAACGAACGATAGCACAAACATCTCCCTATAATGAAAAATACAATCATCCATATCTCTATTTTCTTACTTTCATTTCTCCTTATGAGTAGAGATATGGATCAACGTTTGGACCTCGAATTGTTTCGACCTGTATGAGAAAAGAATATCCTCTTGATTTTATGTGGGTAAAGGATTTCTCCTTAAATTGGAGCAGTTTCTCTCTTTGAAGGGATATGGTCCATCCCTCCTTTCTACACCCTCGCACACATCTACCAACACCCTAGGTTAAGTATTATTTATACTTGTTTTTAACCAATATATTACATCCGAATCTGATTTTTTTTATTGTAAATCATCTATTCATATATTTGATATTTCGTTTGTTTACAGTCACGCTTCGTTTATCATTGGATTTAGTCCAATTACTTTTTCATACACTTATAAAACATCACATGTATACGTTCTTTTTTTTTCTTTTTTCCTTCAAAAGAAGGGTAACAAGTATATAAAAAACCACATTAGCAACAGTTTTATTTTTATTTTTTCTGTAGCTATGCCCATATTACCAGATAACAAAGATAAAGCAAGTAGATGTTTTTTTTATGGATAAAACTTCTATGTATATTATAACTAAATAAGATAATATCTAATTTTACTTTATTTTATATCGCTTAAAAGTTATATGTTGTATATAATATCAAATAAAATGATTTATTTTTGATCATAGACTATACCTAAAATTGACAAGTTAGAAAGAGTTTAGAAAAATGTTTTTGTTCAGATTTTAAAC